GATTTTAACGAATTCCGTTATATCTTCGTCGCGCAGTTTGTAATGCTCTGGTGTTGAGTTCTCCCAGGTTTTGTTTAATTGAGTCTCTCGTTCACGACGCACTCTGTAAATAAATTTATACAATTTTATGTGTTAATTTTAGAAAGTAACCACCTACTCCTAACAAACTCGTCAAAATGAATTCTTAATTTTAGCAATACTTTTCATATGAATATTTTCTCCTTACCTAAATATAAATTCTCTGGCAAGTTTTCTTAATAAGTCCCGTAGCTTGTATGACCATCGACCGGCGTTAGCGCTGTGTAGGTAACTCTCAATACCAGCCAGGAATGATTTGAGATGTTTTAATACTAGACCGTCCGGGTTTATGGTCCACGCTATCCAAGTGGCTACGTTCTTCATGTCTAATAATATGATAAAAGAAATAGGGATATTAAGTGATTTGAACCACACATTCTATAAAAACGTGTGTATGTGTGAGTAAATACGTAATTGAATGTATCATATTCGCTGCATACGTGTGTGTACATCTTTAATAACAATGAAAATATAGGATTAATATTAAAAACATTTTGTTAATATTATTCCAAGTTTTGGTACCCGTGTGTTTTTCGGTTCGCAATAAATTTAAAACTTGTAGCCTAACTTAATGCAATGCAGATATTGATTCGCTTTGACGTGTTTTAATATAATAAAAAACAATTAAAGATGTCCTTAGTTATAGTTTAGTTAAAAGATGGCGCTACTATCTTTGGTTGTTACTACTTGCATGATAATCAATTATTAGGCAATGGATTAGTGAAATAGACACAGATGTCTATTTCACTAATCCAATGATCCATGTAATAAAAGCCCTATTTAATTTTTAAGATATTTTTTCTCAATTATATATAAAAATAAATTGCCGCCTTTTAATAGGAAATTAATATGTACTAAAAAATGCTACCATTAATTAATATGTACCAAAAAATCTTACCAAGCGCGTGACTTTTACTGTACTGCATATCTTTGTAGCTAACGGGTAGATTCAAGGCGTGGAGGAATCTTGTGAACATTTTTGGTACATGAGGAGTCCAGTCTACAGCTCCAGGATTTTTCTTTGCCAGACCGGCAAATAGCACCATAATGTCCTGAAAGGCATATATCATTTTATTTACCAATGTTAAAACCATTTAAAGAAAAATAAGTTGATCAGTATATTTCATAAGTAATGTCAAGACTTGTACAATGATAATACATTGTAAAGTATTTGGAATTTCTAAATTATATTACAAATGTTAATTCAATTAATAATGAACTTGATAAATAAATTAACATATTCCTAAATTAATTTATACTAAGCTTGTATTTGTAGTGATTTAGTTATGTATATAAAAAATGCTTACTGATACAGAGCATTGTGAATTATAGCAGGTGTCCCATAAAGTCATGAGCTGATCAAACCAAAGAAGATGCCCTCGATTGGCGTATTTAGGATGTAATCCCGTTGGTATGAATGCTGTAATGGGGCCCAAGATCTGGGAGTTAGAAGACCACGGACATATCAGTGGCAACATTTCATCTAGAATCTCCTCCGTCGCACTAACTTCAAAGTATCTAAAAAATTACATGTATGAAATGACCGGCATAATATTTCTTTTACACCAAGGTATTATACTTACGGCCTTGCATATTTCACCATCGTTATATAGGATCCTTCGAGTGATCTGTAATATTATTTTAAGATTATGAATTAAATATGTATATACAAAAATAATCAAACAACACCCATGAAAACCCTCCAATATACAACTTGATGTTCAGATGACAATATTATTAATAAGATATGATATTCTCAGTTCATGATTAGTTTATAGTCTGCGCAAGTGATTCCCAATAAACATGATTGATCTCTACACAATGAACTCCCTTCCACCAAAGCACCCAGGAATACATTCTTATTATTTTACTTTGGAAACTCATTGTCATCCTGAATTTGGTACCCGAACATTTTGAGGGCATCGTCTAGGCCGGAGCCGGAAATAAATTTCCGAACCATGGAAATCAAAGAGGCATTCTCTGTTTCAGTCGTTTTAGGCCTGAACAAACATATTTGTTTATTTTCTTTGTCAAAACCTTCGAGTAGGTTTTACAAAGTAGGTGGGTAGATATAAAATGTGTAAACAATGTAATTTGAGTTGCATTGAGTGTGGTGTAATTAACAGAAGTAACAGGTTTCTTTTCTATACCCAATATTAACATATAAAATTAATAAATAACTTACGAGAGATATTTTAACATCCCTATATTTGTGGCGCTTGAATCAAACAACTTTATTCCCAATTCATACAAAGGACGCCACGGCAGTGTCATTTCTTCTGGGCTGATGAGATGTCGCTTCCTAGAATTAAAATTTGTTATTGAACATTAATATCTAGTAAAAAAAATCTAATAAACAAGTTTTAACCAAGGCGGCTTGTTGTTTTTATTACTATTTTTTGTTACTCTAATCATAATTTTTTGATAGTAACAAACAAGTTAAAAAAATTACTACCAACTTTAACCTTTAGCAGAAAACATTTTTATATCAATATTAAAATACTATTAATGGTGTATTTAAGTGTTTCATTATTTTTTGTAGTTCTATGGAAGATACTAATCCTTGCAATCTAGATATAATAAAGAAAAATTCAACAAGATTAATTGCTACATGCTAATAAATAGTTCATTTTCATAAATTTATTTCATTCTCCAAAATCTATGGACTCCTTTATGAATAGTAAAATAAAGATTTTTTGTATAACATAAAAATGATAGTATAATTAGTAAGTCTAAAAATACTATTACAAAGATTCAAATGCACTTTGAAAGTGCACCAATAAAATGCTTGTTTGATTCTAATTGACATCAATGAAAAACCAATTGGCGCTTCTTTTATTGTCATAAGTGCTATATTAGAAATCAGTTCAAATACTTACTTTGTGAGCATCATGAATAAGGTTCCAAATTTCTGCACTTTCCCAGGTTCCAGATCGGGTATAAGCACCAATTCATAGATCAGTTTGATGAATGCTATGTGATCTTCCTTAGTAAACTTCAAACCATTGATGCGGATATACCTATGGGAATATATGAAAATTACTTAGTACAAAATAAAACATTGTTAGTTAGTAATGATTAAACTACCAGAGATATATTTTGATGTCGGAAATAAAAATTGAACAATATTTTTTATAGTCCAATTTTTAAGAAAGATATGTGTCCCCTCTGATATTTTTTAAAACTGTTAAATAGTTCTGGACATAATAGCATTTAATATAACTGGACATAATAGCATTTAATATATGAATTAATATTGATTGTGTTTTCATTCTGTTATAGGGTATAGAAACATATTTTTTTATATATACAGAGAACCTTTTATTGTTATAACATATAAAAGTATTATCAGATTGAGTAAATGTTGTAAATTTTCACAACATAGATTCTGTGTTGTGGTTATCACCAATCTATTCAAGTAAGTATGTAATTTTTTATAAATATTAAAAGCAACTTGTTACACTTTGCAAGTATTTAAAAAACTTATGATTTATATATTTCAATTTGTAAGAATATTTATTCTCCATAATCTATCAATAAACAATATAAATTCCAGATTCAAATAGGATTTCAATAAAATATTGGCAATTTAAATCCTTCATACAATTATATAGAAAAAACAGCATTAATTATACCTACACAATACAATGTACGTTTAAGAACTACTTAGAGTGCATGATTCATGACTCAGCAAAAAAAATATTTTGTTAACATAGTTTTTTTATTATTTACATACTTATAGCATTAATTTTAAAAATGTTAAGAGATATTTTAATTTTCCCTGTCTGGGAGTTCTGGGTTAAAGCCAGTTATTTTAGACATACAATATGTTGCCAAAGGTTGATAAACATCAAGCCAAGTATGTAATTCCATCTGACAAATTATAAAATATCAATATTTAATAAATTTATATAACAATGATTTGTTAATCTTACAATTGAATAATATAATCGATTGCCCATATAAAAATTCGCTGATATGCATTGCAATAAGAATGTATATTCTGTCAATTCTGTATAGTAAAGCAAGAATGAACTAAAAGATAGATTTAAAAAATATATTTACTTCATCAATCTAGATACCCAGACGCCGACACCTGGTTTCATTTCCCGTAACATAACAGCCTTAGCCAAGTTTGTCTTAACTTCCAAAATGAACTTCGCCGATTCTCTATCGAGCTCGTCAACATACGGCAGCAAGAAGTTGGTGAGCAGTTCCTTCTGGGGCTTGAACCCCAGAACCTTCAATCGGTCTGGGGTCAAAACCATCTCCTCGAACTCTTCGTCTTCAATCATTTTGGATTTTTTTTATTCACATTAATATTTTAGTATAACATAATCTTTTTATTCTAACATTTACACTAATTTTAAGTCATAGTCTTAACACATACACACTTTGGCTTTCGTGTAATGAAATCAACATCAAATTTAAATTTATACAAGTCATCAATGTATTTCAGTGAAAAAGAATTTTGTATCGTCTGAAGTTTTGTACGTTCCTTTATACGATTTTTCTAATTTTGATTGATCATTGATGACGAAGTATTTTGAGTATTGCCATGCGTCATTATCAAGGTTACTTTTGACAAAATAAAATGCAACGTTCCATTCTACGCGTTGTATCGATATTATAAGAATTTTGTGAATAAAACTGTTTTTACTACCTAATAGCTTATTGCAAATATTATGCAACAAATAAAAATTATAAGTTAAGGAATAAGTCTATTCGTCATAAATTGACCTTTTTAATAATTATTATTCCGATAAAAATATAGGAAGGACAATTGTTATTTACAATAATAATGATTATTTGATAAGTGTATGTGTTTATATTTCTCTTTTAATTTTCCTCACATAATACTCATGAAATAAATAAAAATAAGCGTGGTATATATTTATTACATTAATTAACAATATAAATATTCATAATATCACGGTCTCTCGCTGAGTAGTATATAAGCTTGCTGCGAAAACTATATCCCTCTTGATAGCTGTTGAAGCTTCCATCATTTTTGCTTGAAGTTTTGGATCACCAATTGCAACTGCTGCGTCTTTCACATCAACTAGGAGCTGAAATTTTAACACTGTTAACATCTATCTCCAGATTACTTCCAAAATAAGACCAAAAGATACAGTATGGTATTGAGTAATCTGTTATAACTTTGCCGTGAAAAGAAGAATTTATACCAAAATATAATACTAACAAAGTTCCTAATTGTGATTTCAGTCGAAGCTGTTAAATTTTATTACATTCCTAAGTTAATCTGGGATTGTGTCTCCTCCATTCTACACGACATCAGCAGAATATACTGTGCAAGTCTTTGCACGGATGAAGGCCACATTTAAAGCCAACAAAATGAATTTTACGAATATGTATATAATTAATTTGATCACTTACTTCATGAAGTTGTTGGATACATCTCACTATAATACCTTCTTGAACGTCAGTCAAATCTATGATTTCTGCAAACGGTTTTTCTAGGGCCCATTCATAGACAACTCTGACTAGACCAAAGTTTAATCTCTCTGCTTGCCCTTCGAATTGGCCAACCTTGAAATAAATTATTTATTTGTATAGTAAAAACACAAACAAGTACAAACATTCTAAATAGCATTACTACACTTTCATATTTATATGTTAGTTTTCATGTAAATCTAATACTTAGTAAATGAAACTGGAACTAAATAATAAGTTTGTTAGTTATTTCTTCACCCCTACATTAGCTTGATTGATTTCCAAAAAAACCTAAGTACATTTTTAGGTCCATATAGGAACACAGGGATAAAAATCATATGTAGTTTGAAATAAATGTAACTGAGTAGAGTGTCAGGCAGTTACATTTAGTCTACTTCTGCTCTTAAATAAAGACAGTACAGCATGTATATTTACCATATATTTAGCCTCGATCCTGGTAAGTTCATCATCAATTTGTTCTATAGCTTTAACACCAGCTTGTAATTTCTCAGTCAAAGCCGGTTCCACTCTAGTCTTAGCTTGGAAAACGAAACAGCTGAGGAGTGCTGCTATTTCCGCTGGATTCTTATCGGTGAATACATTCCGGAACACCAATTCTGATATTATAAGCTCGTTGGTGCCCATACAACACGCAACACGGCCTTTTAAGATAACGCTGTCATGATCATCTATATAGTTCAGTTCTCGTAGAACCATCAATCGTCTTTGGTAGTCTGGGTATAGAGCTAGATTTTCGAATGATAGAAGACGTTTGTATTTATCGCGTTTCCTCTCAGCTTGTTTTCGTTCGTACACAACAGCGAATTCGCTCTTGAAATTCGCTATATCTGTGTATTTCTTCTGTGCTTCAAGCTCAGACTGGAATATGAATTTTTATGTACATAAATATAAATCTCAAAATATTATACTACATAGTAATTTTTGAATACAAAAAAATCATTCCTGACATAATACAAAAAAATAAAGTATTTTATCTTGTATATAAGAATCAATATAATGCTTATTGTTGACATAATTTTGAATGATACATTATTATTATATTATATTCAATCACTGATTGATTTTCCAATCCAAATACTAACATGTATACAGGGTGACTGGTGAATTACTATCAATATTTAAGGAGCATACTCGGTACATGATTCTCATTCGAATTATGTAAAAAAAATAGGTACTTAATTTTTGACCAAATTTCCGTATAAATAAATAAAGTGTTGACACATTCCAAGTGTTCCAATTGTGGACGCGTGCGGCGGCGTGCTGATACAAAACCATGCCCCCGCCGCGTGTGTGTGAGTGTGTGTGTATACCTAATCTGTAGGGTGTTCACACGATGCGTAATTAATTACACAACTTTTGGTTAACTTTACTTAGAAGTTTATTAATATTTATGTTATATTAATTTTTATTTTGTCATATATGATCGTCAAATATCACGTCCTCAACTATCGATAGTAATTCACCAGTCACCCTGTATATGATTTTCGCATTTAATTAAAATTAAGTTAGAATATATATTATGACAAAAAAGTATTAAGTAAAATCTTCTCTTCGTACTTTTGAATAGTCTAGTCTATCTTCTGCCTGGTATTTTCCCAGCTTCAGCCAGGGCCCGCCTTACATGTTGTGATAAGTTTTGGCTAATTATTTTTTACGACCGCCTGCCTGACATTAACCCTCTTTGGCAATGACTGTGTAGTGTGTACTGATGTACTTTTAAATAGTCTATATCCTACTAATATTATAATTGCGAAAATTTGTGAGTGTGTGTGTATATTTGTTGCTTCTTCACGCTCAAACGGCTGAACCGATTTTGATAAAATGTTGTATACAGGAAGCTGACGTCCAGGAATAACACATAGGCTACTTTACATCCCGGAAATCCCGCGGGTAACACCCCGGGGCGCAGCTAGTTTTAAATAGATCGTAACAAAATAATAGGATAAAAGCTTCTTACTTTGCATTTGTTCATTTTGTCGAGTGACTGTAGTATTTCTCCAGTGGTGATGGAAAGTGCCTGTGTGAGACTGACCGTCTCGAGGCCGGCGGCTGACGTACGTGCAGCGTGAGACAACTGGCACAGCTCCTGAACTGATCGACTACAGGTCGCGCCTACTGGAGCATCCTTGAAACTGAGGGTAGGAGAGCATTTTATATCAGTATATATAAATCAAGAACGTGCAGAGAAATTTGAAGTAGGGTAAACTGAATATTCCTGTATTTATGTTAAAAAAAATCACACACATCTGAATAGTCTATGACATGTACAATTAACGTAATTATCATCACTGATAATATTAATAAAAATTTAAGAAAGTTGGTCCACTTCTCTTAATAACTGAATAACTTAAAAGCTGTTGTTAAAACTAATTGCTTTTAATTTATAGGTTTCATAAAAACATGTAAAAATATTTCTTTTAAGTAGTATGATATGTGTTTGAGAGAGACATTTGCTGTTGCTCTAAAATGGAAGGTAAATATATTTAATAATATATTTCATGCAGAATAATGAGAGTTGACTTCATGTAAAGTAATTTACTAAACATTTAAAATCAAAAAAGTCATACCGTGGCATCTGTCTTTGCTCCCAATCTCTTATGATGAGATTAGCATCAATTTTAAGATTAGTTTTAGTAACAGCCACAACATTCTTAGGTGCTATACACAGTATTGTGTGATCCATTGTACTTTCTTCAGTACCTGCAGAAATCAAAACATTTATTAATAGTACTAGACAGAAAAAATATATTTGTGTGTTTTATAAGACTTTATATACTACATTAGTTACATTTTTAATTAATAGACAATAAAAGAACAACCAAACAGTAAGTTTTACGATGATGATGAATATAATACAGTAATACCCCACTTTACGCGAGGGATACGTTCCGAAGAAAATCACGTTAACTGAGATTCGCGTATATCGAGGTTTATGATGAAACATAGTCAAAATTTAATACACAAATATAAAAATCATTTTAATCAATTACTTTAATTCCTAGAACACTATACAATACATAGGTACTCCTATTTTATACGAAAAAATACATGTATTGTCTTTTGGGTAGCGTTTTGTTTACGTTCTTGTTCATCATCATCGTTCATAACACCAAACACTGTTTTTAATCGTTTGACACACGTTCAAGACACGGTCATCATTATTGTCTATACTCTGCAATGTCCCAACCTGAATAAATTTTTGAAAATCGCGTTATAGTGAAACCGCGCACAACGGGGTCGCGTTAAGCGGGGTATTACTGTATTTCTATATACATATATTTTTTTATTAACATTACCTATATTTTCATAGAGTTTAGAGAAACCCAACATCCTGTACCAATTTTCATCCACATCAAAGTTGTATCTAGCTGTATCTTGTTCAGCTGTGTTTAAAACTAGTACCTTGTATGGGGTTTGCCTGGGACCTAGGGAAGAATAATAAGTATCATAAATAAACATAACTTATAGAATAAAACAGCTATTTAAATAATCCTTACCGCTATTGTTCAAGTAGACCCCCAATTGATTTATGAAGGGTCCCGCTGATATAATGAGAACTTTTCCCGGCACGAATTCCTTAACAACTTTAGATTGGTTCAATAATATTGGCATTATATCATTCAAGACATCTATATACTGTATGGCTATGTCATAGAATGTGGCTAATGGAGCTAAATGCGATGGCAGGGGAGTGCTACATTTCTCTGAATATTCCTTTTCAGCTAATTGCAGTTGTTTCCTGTTATTATCAGCTTGGCATATCTGATGGAACTCTCTGAAGGATCTCTGCATCATACCCTCCACTGATACTGTTGCCACACTGAAAATAATATAAAATTAAATTAAATTGAGATTACTTGTACATTTAGGATTTCCTTAACTTATTTAGTCTACTGTCCATTTTGAGAATAAAATATTTTTAGAGCCCCCTTTGTTTACCTACTGAAAACGCCTATAAATTATCTCAACTAATTTAAATTAATAATCACCAACAAAGCCTATACACAACGCCCTCATTTTTTATAGGTGTCTTGCCGCTCTTTTCAGGCATTCAGCGCCTAAAAGGGGCGTTAACGCCCGGTTTGGGTTTTAGATTGATATTTAATATTTGGAAATTTATAAGAATTTAACGTAAATCTTCTATGAAAAATGGTATTTAATCTAGGTAACCCAAACATAATATGGTCCGGTGACAGTAGAAACTTTAAATTACCTTTAAATGCATATGAAAACGTTAATAAATGTAATAATTTTACCGCAATAAACTTAATATCATGGCGTATGTCAGTCTGAACTGAGACGACAGCTTCTGTGGAGTACCCAACATCATTCCTTTAAGCGTCACTTGATCTGGAACACCTTCTTTGCAGAGGATTATGACTGTACCTGTATCGTCCAGACCTGAAATCAAATATATCATGTATGATATCCAATGCCGTCTTTAAACTATTTGAGGCCCTGGGCACATTAGTATCATGGGGACCCTATGACCTTGAGAAAACACTATTTAGTTACAATAGATAAAGAAAGACAAACAAGGTTCTAAATTTATTTTTATTTAGTTACTAACTATTAAAAAAATAGGAAATATAAAAAATAATCTACAAAAGTAACTCGCTTAACTTAAAATCCTTAGATTAATTCTATGTTGATTGCAAAGGTACCCTTCTAGATTTAAGATGAGCAAAATCGTTAATCACATCTTCAAAATCTGTGGTATTGAGAATATCACATTCTACGGACCTCAGCGACAAACTAGTTAATCTCTCTTGAAGCATTGTACTTCTTAATTCATTTTTTATTCATTTCAATTTGGAGAAGGAGCGTTCTCCGCTGCAGTTAGTTACCATCATACTTAAAAACATTCTCAATGCAATTTCTACGTTAGGTTAGGTTAGGTTAGTAGTTGTCTTCAATTTTGTTTTGCTTTAATAGATTATATACTTCCTGTACACTGTTAGATGCTTCATTTTCACCCTGAACATTTTTTAAGTATTCTTTTAAATGTTGACATTCTATTTCTAACTCTTTTTCATTTACATTTTCGTGATATATTTGAGAAAATTCTTTGCATCCTTGTCGTATCTCTTCGGAATTCAGAGTTTTTAAGTGAAAAAATAAACTAAAACGTTGACTGACGGTCTCATATGAACTTTGTCGCTACGTTCTACATTGAATCGCTCTTTTCCATTCAATTGGACTGATGGCCAGAGCCATCAAAAAATTCCAGCCGTGAGCTTCTACGTCTTGTTCTTTGAGATAGATCCTTGTAGTCAGATTCTGGGTTATTTTCTTTGGCAGATGATTCGAAGTTATCAAATTTATCCCTGAGGTTAGTAATAAAGTCATAAAGTGAAGTCAACAAATTGGTTGCAACGTCCAGTGTTATTGTTTCTTTCTGAAGATAATTACTTGTTTTAACCTAAATATACTAATATCGGAAAAACTCATTTTTGGAGTGGAGTACTTATACCCTGTATATTTATTAGTTCGATCTTTCTTTTTGACGGATGTCAAATCTGAAATCGATATAACTTTGCAACGACGAACAATATTTTCTTATTTTAATAATATTAAAAATTGATAATAATCATAAGAATAGACAGACAACATAAAAGTACCTGTTAAGGACTCAAGCATTTTCCGAAAGTCTTAAGTGGTTTTTATTGCTTCGAAGTAAAATTTAAATAGAAAAACTGAAAACAAAAACTGAAAAAAATGTTTTTATGTCTAGTGCAATAAAATAGATTGACGAATGAATTTATTTATTTTGAATAGTTTAAAACATACATACAGCCACATATTTAGCCAACACATTTTTTACACCAATAGATATTTTCTGTTTTCCATCACTGACCCATCTGTCAAAAAGTTCAAGCTATGTTGTACAAGGAATAGCTATCCGCATGCGGCAAACTAAAGCTAATATAATAAGCGTAGGTATTGTAGTAAGTCATTATCATCCGATTTTTCAAAATGAATGTTTTTCGGTAATACCTAAATATCGGTTATCATTTGGTACTTTGGAAGGAACTAGGGGGCCCCATTCGATCGCGGGGCCCTGGGCACGTGCCCATAGTGCCCAGTGGGAAAGAGGGGACTGATGATATCCACTTGTGACGTCATCAATTTCATCCCTTCATATGTCGGTAGTGACGTCACACATACATACCTCGTCTCCCCGCCCTGCCCGCCATCTGTATGTACTCAGCTGGCGCGAGGCTTCTGGACTGTATGCCGTCGAATTTTGTGATGTCATCGAAGACCACAGTACGTGCTGGCATGTTGACGCCCATAGCGAACGTCTCAGTCGCGAACAGAATTTTCACCTGATATATTGCACATTTATATATTTTTGGATATATTAAGCGTTTTTTTATTATTTTATGAACTAAATAATCAGGACGTTTCGGTTCCTTGGCAGCAACCGTGATTATAAGATATGTATTTTTTTATATTTTATAGTGTTACCTAAGAATCTATATATTTTCTTTATCAAGAAGTTTGAAATCTAACTCTTGTCAATATATTTTTAATATTTCATGTATTTATTTACACATATACCTAGGTTTTATGTTAAAAATATAATTGTAGGAAAATTGCATAGTCTATGGATCAGGAAAGAAAGCAAGAGGTTGAATTATAACAATTATAATACTAAAATAAGTGCGGATAAGCCTGTGGATTTTTGGATAATAATGCGTAGGATTTTGTAATAATTTTAAGGTGATTTTTTAAACTCACGTGACCGGACTGGAAGAGCATTTCGACGATTTCCTTAAGCAAAGGTAATATACCGCTGTGATGTACACCGATACCGTTCTCCAATACTCTTTGGAGACGTATCACCTGAAAAATTATACTTTATTATTACTTACATTTCTTTTGGGCCTTCTAGATATTATTCTTTTACTATCATACTACTACATATATTATTTATTACTCTATAGAAGACTATATTAATATAAATATTTATGTTATCCTATATGAATAATACATGTGATGTTTTAAATGACTTTAAACTATGTCTTTAAGCGACTTAATATGTATATGTTTATATTTATATAGTATGCTTTTACTGACCTGTGGAAGCTTTCTATCAGGCTCCTTCAACCTCTGAAGACATCTCATGAAGAATGATTTGATGTGACTTTTCTCTTTGGCCGTTGTTAAATCTACTGACATCAAGTTTTCAGCATTCTGATCACACCTTAAAAATAAATATTTTTTATTAAAATTAAAAATAAATATATATTTATTAAAACTATAAAATGCGAGGATACAAAAATGAAAAACTGTTAACGCTCTGTATATATAGTGTGTTGATGGAAACTTATACTAAGAATGCAGTTTAAATTAATATCATTGACGTATCAGTTAAATTCTTTCATATTTTTCTAAAAATCATTAATTTAACCCAACTGTTTAATTTCATTTGTACATTAAAGGTTTTTTAATTTTTTTCCATTGTTGAACTATCAGTGATCGTGTATTAAATACTTGTTTATTAATTGTAATCTTACCTATTTCTTGATAAGGTAAAAGCCACTACGGGCAACTTATCACAAGACCTCAAATGATCAATGAACGCTACCCACATGGTTTGTTCGGCTTTAGGATTACCGAATTGTTTTCCACCTGGAATTCAAATTTTTATACTATACTACATATTTTATGATTATATTGTTCTTCATGATTAACTTCTAAATACATGGTGATTATATAATAATTAAAAGAAGCACAAATTAACATCGTATGTGAAATGCCAAATCGATTATAAATTTGGTTTAAAAATTCCGGTTATCTCGTTATTTGAACATTTTTTAATACATTGTACTTTTTGTAAAACAAGCCAAATTTAATGACCCTATGTGATTTACCTAATCAAATCAAATGAACTTGGTGTAAAAATCTCTTAAGTTATTTGGATATACAGGGTGACCGGTGAATTACTATCAATATTTAAGGAGCATACTCGGTACATGATTCTCATTCGAATTATGTAAAAAAAATAGGTACTTAATTTTTGACCAAATTTCCGTATAAATAAATAAAGTATTGACACGTTCCAAGTGTTCCAAGTGTGAACGCGCGCGGCGGCGTGTTGATACAACACTACGCCGCCGCGCGCGTATGTATGAGTGTGTGTGTATACCTAATCTGTAGGGTGTTCATACGATGCGTAATTAATTACATAACTTTTGGTTAACTTTACTTAGAAGTTTATTAATATTTATGTTATATTAATTTTTATTTTGTCATATATGATCGTCAAATATCACGTCCTCAAATATCGATAGTAATTCACCAGTCACCCTGTATATTTGAGTATTTTTATGTTTAATATCTTAATAATTAACCTTTCGGCCCAAAGCTCTTCTTATATTCGTTTTCCCTCGCTTTCTTAGCGGCAGCAGCTTCATTGTAACCGCGCAACTGAAAGGTACCCTCTTGATCGACGACCAGAAATCTTTCATTTTTGGATTTACCTCCCGAACCTAAAAATGCAGAAAATAAATATAAATTCAAGAAAAACCTTATGAAATGGAATATTCTGATACCAATAAAATTTTGATTGAATATATTATATACACAAGTTTAATAAATTTAATCCAAAATTTTGCCAGGCTGCAAAGGGTAGCTAGCTTTACCTATGGTTATATAGCTTCGGATTTCTCGAGACGGCGGAAACTATATTATCTGCCATTGCCATATCAGTTATAAGTATTTGTACAATAAATAAGCTATCAATCATTACAAATTGCCATCGGCCAGTAATGGTTCTTACAACCTTCTCTAAAAATTTGGTACCAGATTCTAATGGCTGACATTGGTAACCAATGACTTGGCTATTACTTGGGTATTTTCGTCACATACAAACATCGTTTTGAAATTTTATTCCAACAGCTTATTCATTTTAAGATACAAATCGTAATAAACAGTTTGTAATTTTAGCTTTTTTGAAGTTATATACCTGTATATAAATAATGGCACAAAGGTACAGGTCGTTTAGGTGTAGACACGACATAGACTTTCCTCTTCTTAGTACGACCCACCCAGTCAGCGAATTGGAGAGTGTTGGGTACAGTCGCGCTCAACATCACTATACTGACGTGAGCTGGGAGAAGAATTAGGACTTCCTCCCATACATAGCCACGCTGGAATTGTAAATAGTATAATAAAAATATGTAGATAAATATTATAATATTATAGAACAGACAAATAAAATAATCAATTTTGAATTTGGAATTATTATTGCTGGCAATGAAAAAAGTGTACACGCGTTAGAAGTTATACTTCTTTGGCGTATAGAAAAAAACTAAATGCTGTAGTGATTCACGATAAATATAAAATTATTAATAAGTACTATCACCGTCATCTGTGAAATTGATTTAATAAAAACACCAAAATAATATTTATTTTTTCATTGTACTGTTACGAACGTGTTCTAAATACAAAAAATACTGAAATATACACTTGAACTAGTAGTTATCTATTAACATGCCACCTGGAACTAACTTCACGATGTCACTGTCAAAATTCATTCATCATTTTTCTCTATCGCGCCAAGAGAAGTATAACTTCAAAAACAATCATAAACATAATGAGATCTAAGATTTTCGCGAGTACTCATTTAAATGAAACTAATATTTTCGGATTTTACCTCGCGTTTTATTTTTGATAATAACTACATACTCCCGACGTTTCCGCTACTTTGCAGCAACCGTGATCAAAATCCGAAAATATTAGTTCCATTTAAATCATAAACATACCTCAGTATTATTAATGTAGTGGACCTCATCGAATATAACGAATTCAAGGTCCCTTGTGACGTCAGAGCCGCAGTACAACATAGACCTTAATATCTCAGTTGTCATCACGAGGCAAGACGCTGTAGCGTTGATTTGAAGATCACCCGTTAGAAGACCAACTTCACCAAACATTTTATTAAAATCATTGTACTTCTGGTTAGATAGAGCTTTGATTGGTGATGTGTAGATTGCTCTGGAATATATTTAAATAAAATTAAACTTTCTTTTTATATAAAAGTAGCTTTAACTTTTATTTCAACAATATTAACGATCAACTGAAATCAGTATGATAATTTTTTTAGGCTTTTTTTATAATCTGTGATAACATTTGTTACAATCGTGTGTTAGGTCTATTTTTAACAAAATCGATATGTTAGAACATATTTATATTATGTTAAGATAACTTGATTCTATATTTAAATTTAAATCAGCTTTGTGGAACTTAAATTATTTTGTTTTTCAAAACAAAATGACGAAGCTTATATTTTCTTTTTAGTTTATTATTATTTATATTAACACACCTGGTACAATTTCTCCTTGACATAGCTATAGCATACTCAGCGACAACTGTCTTCCCAGCAGATGTATGGGCAGCTACAAATACATGGTGGCCTTCTTCCAATTTAAGTATAGCCTAATAAAGACAATTTAAATTAATAACATTGATGCATTCAACCTTCTTTCACATCAACCTTAACAAATTAAATAAAACCTCCTTTAAAAACTGGCAGTTGTTACTGGCATGCAAAGAAATATCAAAAGCATAATGTAAATCATAATAAAATAATAAGCATAATGTAAATCATAGTAAGCAAAATAAAATTTTTAGAACTATTTTCACAGTTATTAGAAAAAATATTTGATTGATATGCACCTGTTTTTGGAAGCTGTCCAATTCAAATGGATATGAATGTGCCATATCTTTAATTTTTTCTTTAAAATCTGGCACAGGTAGGGATACATCAATCATTTCAGCCCATTCGGTAGAAGTGACCCCGAGCTTTACGGCAGAGTTTGTTATGTTTAATATTGGTATCTCAGGAAGTTCCACGGGCGGTCTGATGATAGTACTTTCTAAGAAATTGTCGTCTTCCTTATCGTTTTCGATTTGTATCTTCTTAATCGGTTTCGAGATCTCATGTTTATCATCTTCGTCATCTTTCCAGAGACCTATAAAATGTTAAATATAAAGAATGAGCATATTATTTTACCGTTACATATCTTATGTTGTATTTGTTTTTAAATTTGTTATATATATGAATATCATGACACAAGTGTTAATGCTCTATAACAAAAATAGTGGTATGAAAATTTCAATTCATGTAATATTTTATGATAAAAATGTATATTTGCTGAAGTAATTCCTTTTAAAACTACTTGTAAATTAAATGTTTATATTTCAGTGTGCATAAATTTAAAATAATCAATATTTATAAAAAATATTTCAATTTTAGCTATATATAATTATGTAGTTCTATTGATAATTATGACAATTTACAAGGACTTTGTTTATCATATTATGTTAGATAATAATTTACCAACTAAGTGTGCATTATTATCAACCACTTCTTCCAAATCAATTTCTATCTTGAGATCTAGTTCTTGATGTTTATCCTCTTGTACATCTTTCTGTTGATCAAGTAAAGTCATTCCATCTTCAGCAAACAGAACTGCCTCCTTTGATCCTGGCGCTGTTGACAAAATGTCTGAAAAAGGAAAAAAGTATTTAAGGCCATCATAATAATTGAAAGTATGAATTTATAAATATGAATAGTTTGTCAGTTTTTTGGATTTATGACATGTAAGACTTGTTTAAAAAGAGTTCTAATATAATTTGTTACACAATTATTTAAATATTAATAGTAAGGATTTTTTAAGTCTATAAGCATTTTTTCATTGTGATTATTTTTTAATGTATAATTATTTCTATATACCTTCTCCTAGAAATTTTCCGGGCTCATCATCTTCAAAATTTATTTCAATTTCAGAACTCTGTGCCGCTTCATCCAACATCTTTTGCAGTTCCTCCTCAAAACCGGCTGGTAAAAATGGATTCTGAGTAGTTGTGCCTCTAGTGGCCAAGTTGGGAGGCAATGGAGCTCGTGACATGGATAGATTATCTTCGTCATCTTGGAGTGGTATATTAATTTCTTCCAGACCTATAATTTCCCCTGTTCTAGGGTCTCGAACAACCTTAATTAAAGAAGATTAAGATTATTATTTAAGTAATTTGGGAGTAGAGGCGTTCAATAACTTACTTCGAGTGTGGTATCAATTCCTAGTTCTTCATCATCGCTTTTGAACAAAGAATCTATATCTGGTTTTCTGTGCCAATGTGTCTGTGATCTCTCCCATTTATGAATCGATAGTTTCTCCGGTTTTAAAAGATAATCTTTTATACTTTCACTTAAATCTTCAAAAATCGGTGGTGGCTGGAACATACGGATTATTATATTTTATAAAGGGTAAACAGAATAAATAACGATTTATCACAAAATACTACCTTAACATCTGAAAATAATTTCTCATCATATTTTAAAGACATAATATTATAAATGTTAAATTACTAAAGGTATTTTAATATAACTCGTGTATAATTTATAGTCAACTTTCCAGCTATTTGTTTTGAATTAAATGACACTTGACAGTTGACAGCTGTTGACATTTACTCATGGTTGTGCTCATATTACATATAAGCAAGAAGCACAATCCCTATTTCGGAAAAAAAATAATTAAATAAACCCCTTAAAGTTTCACGTGAAACCTTATTCCAAATAATTATTAAACTAGTGTTCAAAATGTGTGTTTAAAGAAAAAATATGATCGAATCCAGTTTTATTTCTTTTATATCGCTTAAGGAATATTTATATTATATTGGAATGATAATAATACAGGAGAAAATGGCATAAATACTGAGAAAATTACTGTTATATTTTCAATAATCTCCAATAGTGTTCCCTTGCATTACACATTACTTTTTTAACAAAATAGTTAGTTATTACGAGAATTTAACAAGTTTTCCCAACATATTAAAAAATATATGTATATATAATTCAATACTGTAACAAAACTTAAATGTAACTTTTTGCATTGGTGAATTGCATTGGTGAATAAAACATCCGAATTAAAATTTTATTTATTTATAATCTAATTTAAATATTTCAATAGTTCTCATTTAGCAACAGAACGAAAGATATATTTATTCTATAACTAATGCTTTGACAGGACGACCGCATCCTTTAGTTTGTATTATATATGAACAATGGCTGATCTGGTTCCGGAGTGGTCACCGTTATATTTTAATTTCTGCAATCTTTGTTGCTTATAAGTATTGAAAATATAAAACCTCACCTACATACTACACCTACACTAGTGTAGTATTTTTTTTTATTAATGTATGTATATTCAGGATATGAAATTACATTACTTGTTAACAAAGATTTTTGTAACTACGTCAACTAGTTATAGATTTAAAAATTAAAATGTACTTGTAAGGAGTTTTATTTATTTTAAATTGGCAAGGAGCTGTTTTAAAAAAAAAATAGTATTTTGGCTAACACTATAATTACTTTTTTAATAGTGGTTACTTTTAATACGAATATATTATATGAATTATGACAGGTCATATAATTGAGTCAGTGGTGACCTAGTGGTTAAAAGGCCCGCCTCTCATGCTTGAGGGCGCGGGTTCAATCCTGGCCCGGGCAAGTACCAATGTGATTTTTCCGAGTCATATGCCCTTTCTAAGAGTATTTAGACATCACTGATTAATGCTGATTCCCAAAAGAGGGTTGATGTCATGCAGGCGGCCGGTCGTAAAAACAAGTACATAGCCAAAACTATTAAAAAAAAATATGTAAGGCAGCCCAGCCCCAGAAGAAGAAGACAGGTCATATAATATAATAACGAGATCTATGGATAAAATACCGCGTAATGTTTGTAGTTTGATTATGAAATGGGACCTTAGGTAAAATCCTACTTTCCGAGTTGTAATTACTAATTATCACTTGTAAGAGAAATAAATATTGAGATGTTAGCAGTATTTACTTAAATTATATTCAATTTAAAAGGAGATTTAACATACGTGTATAGATAATATATTGCACCGTTTTCAACTGCTAAATTTATTAATGAAAATCTAGACACAAACAATTTTAAAGTATAATTAAATATTAGGTCTACTTAAAAAGATTATGAATTATTCAAATTAAAAAATAAATATATTATATACTACTATGGGAATGAAATTATGTTACTACATATCTTTTATGTACTCACGACAAGAATGTTCTAGAATGACTTTGTTAATACTGTAAGTGCATGGAGTAACTTATATGATGTGTATTTTTAAAACGTCATTTCGAAAGAAATTAATGCTCCTTTCTTATTTCCGCAATATATGAAGTACTTACACGAAATTTAGAGCAATATCTCTTGAAGTCGTAAAAATATCAAAAAAAGTTTGGTGTATAGAAAAATATTCAGTTCAATTGAGAAAAACTTGCACTTTCGATTTCGATAAAAATGTAATAAAATAAGAATAAGGTACTGTACCTAACATCTAATGTTTTTCGTGCGTTTTCAAAAGACCTCTTTTTTTTTAATTTAATGGAATGAACCATCCAATTTATATTTTAATAATAATGACGTTTATCTTAACATTTTCTCTTCTTTACTTTTAATGTTACGAGTATATAATATTTTCAGAATATTTAAAAAAAAATCAAAAGAATAAAAATTAAGTAGTTACATATCAGTGAACATTGTTTCCTAATTCAAGTTTTACGAGTTTTTTTTTTCGTAAATTCAATTAAAAATATTTTGTCACTCTTTTAACAATTATTGGTTTTGTAAAACCAGTAAAACATTTAAAAAATTAACGGATTAATCAAAAAATACGTATGTTTTCTGCTTAACAGTGATAGCTTGTGTGTTAGTGTATATGTCCAAGGTCCCATCTTAAGCCCCACCAGCCAGAACGATCATTTGAGTTTTGAACGTTCGCCGCGCGCGTGTTTTAGAAAATAAAAAAAAATGACTCCAATAAACATAAGGACTTGTGTGTTGTTGACAGTTCTTAAAATTATTTATTCAAATGGATTATCCTTGGTAAGAATTTTATTTATTTTATAATATTAAGTAACATTTTATAACATATATATTATTATGTTTGAAATATGTGTTTTATCTTTTTTATTTTAGTGAGAGACGTTATTTTATTTTGTCTTTATATATTATTTAAATTATATATTAAATTGATGTGAATATATAATGGAAACATAACGACGTTTGCCAGTGTTAATAATAAAAAAGATAACATACGTTTTTTTTAAATACAAATTAAATTTAACCATTGTTAATTTGAATTAGATACGAGTAGTTTTGACTTTGGCTATACGGATTTTAACGATTTTCTTGTTCAATATAATAGCTTATACACGATCGTTGAGGCGTAATGATTTTAGGATAATTACTATTGATGATGTAAGAATTGATACTTAAGTATTTTATTAAATAATCGTTTTATACGTGCCAATATTTTTTTATATATAATCGTTAGCAGGAAATATATTAAATAGATTAAATTATTTAAATATATAAATATGTATTATTCATTGTGTTTATTTAATATTATGTAAACCTTTAGAAAATATTTATAATTCATCACGTCACATGAACGTCCTACAAAAGCTTTCAAGGCGAAGCGGGAAGTATTTCGCAACCGGTCGCATAATGTCTCTCCATGTTTACATAAATTGTTTTATCACTAGATGCGCTTTTTAAAAGTCTAGAATATTAAATAATATACTACAATTATTAACAAAATATTGGGTTAAAAATATTATAATTATCTAATTTTAAATTAAACGAGGTAAAAGTAAAAAAATATTGATCGTTACAATCAATACTATGTAGTTTAAAAATTACTTATTCAGTTGTATGGTAAACTTTATCCTTACCATGTGTTCGCATCGTCTCATTAAACGTAGAGTTAATAGTTTTAATCCATAAATCTTCGCATATTATTTTATGAAAATATTGTATGAGTTATGGGAAACTTTTCAAATTTAGTGACGTTGCAGATTTGTGGTAAGCTATTGTAAAGGAAGTAGTAAGAATTTCGAGTAAACGACGAAATTATTTATAAATTAAAAACGTCGAAACTGTAAACTTTTTGGTGTATTACAACTTGGACTAAGAGTAAATAAATTGTTTTATAAAAAATATAATTATTATTATGATTTATGTACCTAAATGATAAATAATTATAAATAGATAGGTAAGCCATAATATAAGTATTTCTAGGAAAATCTATATAAAATAATACCAGTTAATTATTTTTATATAAACATTATTGTATAGGTTCCTAAATTAATAGATACATAATTTTTTATACGTCTTAACTGTAATGAATTTTCCTTATACAGGGTGACTGGTGAATTACTATCAATATTTAAGGAGAATACTCGGTACATGATTCTCATTCGAATTATGTAAAAAAAATAGGTACTTAATTTTTGACCAAATTTCCGTATAAATAAATAAAGTGTTGACACGTTCCAAGTGTTCCAAGTGTGCACGCGTGCGGCGGCGTGCTGATACAAAACCACGCCCCCGCCGCGTGTGTGTGAGTGTGTGTGTATACCTAATCTGTAGGGTGTTCACACGATCTGTAATTAATTACACAACTTTTGGTTAACTTTATTTAGAAGTTTATTAATATTTATGTTATATTAATTTTTATTTTGTCATATATGATCGTCAAATATCACGTCCTCAAATATCGATAGTAATTCACCAGTCACCCTGTATATATATTTTATTCGACAAAAAACATTTTGTTTACTCTGTAATTTTTTTTATTATCTTTACCTTGAGTGACGTACAACGAAATATAGTAAAAAAACCACAAAGCAATTAATATGTATAAAAATAATTTGATGATATACATACATAATAATATATTTATCGCAGAAATTTAAATTTTAAATGTCATGTTCATTACATGTATAATATTTTTATATAAATTATTTTGATTTGTTAGAAAGCCAATAACTTTTTCTCTCTTTAAGTTAGTAAGGAAAGTTGGGAGAGAAACGTATGTATATGTATATATATATATATATTGAGTAACAAGTTTTTGTATAACCTTAAACTTGATATAAACTTTTTGGACATCTACCAGTCTTGTTACGTAAATTTTTATCCATAAGTTCAGTCTCACAGGATGGTTTAATTTAAATTTGTATTATATAATTAGTTGCCGCACGCGACTTTGTCTGCGTGAAGCTCAGAATTACAAATGTGTAGCTGAGTTGAAAATGTATGAAAGCAGATTTTGGATTTTAGTAATTCAATTATTTTTTCGGTCAAACCGGATAAAAGTTACTTTTATTCATTTCCTGATTCAGAACTACTTTTCTAGCAATTTTCAATCAAATCGGTAGAGCCGTTTTTGAGTTATAAACGATTTAACTTCACGAAATTCTTATTTTTTATGTATTTCTTTGTATTTTTATCTTCATTTAAATAATGTGTCGATAGTTAATTAATTCTATTTGATAATGCGATGTTACATTGCTTTTTTATTACGTATTTATACCAAACATTTGTAACCCAGTGTCTAATACCTATTTGTACTGGTTAAAAATTCGCAAAATAATTGTTATCAGTACTTTAAGCCAATTCTAAGAATGGATTGATAATAGAAATAAGAATTAAATAGTAAAAAAAGCATGAATTTCTAATAAATTTATTGAAAAATCAAAAAGGTTTGAATAAATTGCTAAAGATGTATGACTTATATATAAAATCAACATTTAAATTAGAGATCGATCGTTTGATTTAACCCTAATATTAAAAAAACCCTCAAAGGAACGTTAAATTTGTGAATTTTAAAATGATAGCTAGTTATTTACTGTATGTGAGCGACCCGCATCATGAATCTGCAATGGAAAATGGTGTCACGGCAAAAGAGTATACGCTTCGTCGGCTTCTGACATGTTAATGAAGAATTAATAGTGGGTTTTTTGGTATTTTTTCATGGTATAACAACTTGTAATCCTTGACGCAGATTCTGTTTTAGAAGCACTTGATGCAAATGTACTTTAAGCAGCATTTCAATATAAAATCAACAATATTAGGTATTATATATATAATATTTTTTTAATATGGTAAATGCTAGGTATAATTCATATATATTTTTTATTATTTTATAAAAATGCTTAGAAAATATATAACAGTAGATTAACTTATATATGTGAAATAAATTACAATACATTCACATAATGTATTATGTAATATATGTAATATTAAATATCTTATATCATTTAAACAAAAATGTCAAGTATATAAAAAATAAGAAGTTTTTTTGTTCCTTGATTACTATTCGAATGACGGAAATATTTACTTGCACGATTTATTATTATGTGACGTTTCCTATTGAGATATAAAAAGTATTTTTCAATTTCAAAATTAACTTTACTACAAAAAAACTGTTTAACTTATTTGTTTTAACCATGTAATGTTAGAGTCTTAAATAAAATAAAATGTTAGAGTCTTGAACAGTTTTTGTATTACTTTGTTTATAGTTTTATTCCTAAAATAATTTAGGTACCCTGTGTATATTTAAGTTTGAGATCTATCCTTTTAATAATTTCTCCAAGAAAATTATATTTTATAATTATGTTGGAATAAAAAGGAACCCTTTCTCTTCAATAATCTGAATACAATATTAATTTTCTATAATTATTTATTTAACATCTCTGTGCCTTTGAAAATGAAAAAAATCTAGCAAAATAAATAATATTTGATTTTCCAGACTTTATAAGTCCTTCGTTGCAATGCAAAGAAATATGTTCAAATCTATGTTAAACTAATATATTTTAAAATACTCTTAGAGATCTTATTTGCTTACGACAAACATTTTAGGTCATGTTTCATCAATATGATGGTTAAAAAAGTTGAAATTGCACGTTCACTGTTCAGGCTATCAGAAATTATGTTCAAATATTTTTTATGAAGCTGCATGAGAAGTTATGAGGTATAATTTAAAAATATCCATTAACACACGTCTTCATATATCACCCAAAACAACGGTTGAGATAATAAAACGATTGGTAAATTATTTTTACCTTTTTTTCCATACCCATTTACATTATTAGTTTTATAAAAAGTGACATTCAATTTTATTTGCTTAAATGCATTAATTTATTTTGTTATTTAAATGTTCAAAATTTAAAATATAACTTATGTTTGATTAGTCATTGCATTCATATTAATAAAAAAGGGTTTCTCCTTAATTCAATATAATTATATTTTTTGTTATAAATATGATTACTTATTAAAATAAACTGAACATTGGCTTTACCCAAGAATTAGGTACTTATATAATAAGGATAATTGACGTCAGATTGCAGAAGGCTATTACGTGTTGGAAAATGACTGGTCTATAAAATGTTTAGGACCAAACTTAGGAAAATGCGAGAATTTTCATGAAAGTAATATGTGATACTTTTTGTACGTTTTATGAAAAAAATAAAAATAATGGAACAACTTCGGTGAGTGTTGCATAGATTTGAGCATTAGTTTCTCTAGTCCAGCTGCCTAAAATAGATTTAGTGCTTATTTATTAGTATATGATGTTAATAATAAAGAATGGTTACATAAAAGTTATTGACATTCATTTGTTATTCAGAAAGTCATCCCAAATACAGTGTTGTTAGTCATTTCATCTTATACGAAGACGAGTGGGCGATTTGATATCGACTATAGAATCCATTATAATAAAACATAAAATCGAATTCGGTGTTTTTTATTTGATAAATAACCTTTTATACAGTAAAATAATGGTCTAATACGATAAGATTATTTTTTAATTTTATTATATGAACTAACCAAGTCATTATGGGTTAGTGAACTCTTAACGCAATCAATGTTAGAATTTTTCTCTCACTCCAAACCAATTCGTCATAGGAACTGAGAACGCGTTAAATCATTTTCGTTGTACAAAACTTTAACTGTTTCGAGATAAGTAAAATAAGTTGCTTACGATAATACTATGTAGTTTGCGTTAAATAAATAAATATTCCACTTTATATTGTGCTATATATTACAAGTGAAGAATTCGAGAGCTTGTTTGTCCGTAATCAGCATATCGCTTTAAAAGATGAGCAAAAAGACAGTGGATACCAAAAATTTTATGTTAACGAGTTTTGGGCCTCACCATGTATATATTGTCTTATAGAACACTTTATTTTATATTTATATTATACTTAAGTATATGTATGAAAATTTGCTCAAATATTTTAAATGTACGCTATTTTTACTTTGTATATTTTAGTTAACATTTTATTATTAAATGATAATTCATTCGACATGAATGGGGTTTATGATTGCATTATTAAGTTATTTTTATTTAGATTTTAATAGAAGTTAAGCCTAATATTGTTTTTAAAATAACGTAATTGTACAGTAAATAGTGTTATTACAAATAATACGAATTAAATAACCAAAAGATTGAACATGTATGCGAGAATGTAGCCAGCATACCAAACGGGTAATAGACTGTATGTATTAAGTAAAAAAATTCTTCAAATATTTGCAATACTCTAGAACGTATAAATTATTTCACAAGGAATTCCGAATAAAAATGTTATTTGTTCAGTATCATTTATAAGTTATTGTTTTATTTATATTTACTTGGAATAAAAATCCTATTATAATTGCAAAAGTTTGTGAGAATTTATGGATGTACGTGTGCAAGATATATGTTTGTTGTTCTTTGACACAAAAACTACTCATTGAAAATTAGATGAAGCTCTATAGTAATTTAATCTAGACATCACAATAAGACATGGGATATTATTTATCCCTACATTTTTGTTAGTTCAAATGGGATCATTTCATTAACAGTTTTGACAAGTATGAAGTCGCGTAATAGAGAACATAAATGTCGCTGTAAGTTTGCGTAATATCTATTGTTTTAACACATTTTATACTTTACACCTTTCTTTAAGTTTAACACCAAATTCCATTTAGCCGAAGTCGCAGTCAAAAACTAGTATACTATGAAATTAAAACATTTAAAATAATATCACAGCATCGAAAACGTTTATATTTATAAGGTAGATCATTTGAACTCATAGTGAGTGTCTGGTTGTGCAAGGTAAAAGCGGGTTAAGTGTTTACAAGATTCGAATATTAAGACTTCTCGTATTATGAAACGCAAATATGTATTTATAAAACTAACCATAACTCAAAGTACGTTTATGTGAAGACTAATTAATTATCTTGTGATATTATAATTTATACGTGAAATCATTCTTTCAACATTGCATAATATTAATTAAAGCAATTACATACTTCTTTGTTTATATCTAGTTCAAATTATTGTGAAATCTTAGCAGATGTTCTAACACAAGCCATTAAGCGAAGACGTTGAATGATTAAGTGTTACAAGACAGACAATATGTATTTTTATTAGTCATATACTTAAAAAACATTACCTATTTATCAAGCAGTTAAATATTATCACGGTTAAATTTAAAATAACTTAACTTTTAACTAACCATAATAAAGTAGTGACGTAACTTTAGTCGTATTATTTTATTGTTAATGAAACCATAGACGCTATATATTGTTTTTAATACATGACGTTTAAATTAAAAATGAATTTAATTCTCGTTGAATATGTTTTAAGATCGAAATACTAAGTTATAATAATAATATTCTTGTAGCCACCGTCACATACTTGCGTCATTGGGGCTGGCTATTCAGGGTTGGCAGCGGCGAGATATTTAAAAGAATTTGGCCAAAAATTCACTGTTTTCGAGGCTTCCCGAGATGTTGGTGGAACTTGGCGCTTCGATCCCAATGTCGGCCTTGACGCTGATGGCATCCCTGTCACCACGAGCCAATATAAATATTTAAGGTGTCTTATATTTGCTTATTATTTTAAACATACAATAGTTATATCAATAACACTAAAAAGATTTGCGTAAAGTTATGACTTATTATTTATTTGAAGTTGGTTTGTTTGAATAATGTTCATTTTGTTAGAAACCCAAGAAAAAAATGCATTTTTGTAAGAGACTATCTAAACGCAATATTGTTACTTAAAATAATATAAAATGCTTGTTTTGTTTCTTAATCTCAGGTTTTTACATTCTTCACTAATTCCACAGTTAATTAGTTCAATGTACAGACAGATGCAACTGTTTTATTTTATAAATACATTAAATATTGTTATCCATTCAAGAAGTAATATTTAAAAGGTTGCATTTATTATGGGCATAAAAAAATATTTTTCTATACTAATAATAATGATTTTTTTTATTGACATGGGTTGGTTATTCTATTTTAATACTAAAATAGTTTAATAAAATCAATACAAAAATTGGACTTTCTCTTTTCAGGACAAATACTCCACGACAAACTATGGAATTCAATGGCTACCCTTTTCCGAACGCGACTCCGACATTTCCTACTGGCACTTGCTTTTACAAATACATCAAATCATTCGTAAAACATTTCGATTTGAAGAACAACATTCAAGTAAGTACGTACCTTTATAACATACGACAAACTACATACATGTCTTCTCCACACGGTAGGTACTCAAGATTGTAATTCGTCCAACAAATAAAAACACTATCATTCCAGTGCGAATGAAGCCTTAGCATAAAAAAAGTAAGAACTTAATATTTATACGTACAATTATTCAGTAGTTAGATTTCGTAGTAATCAATTATTTTTTACAATTTATTTAATTATATTTATACAACAATTATTTATTAATTATCAAATGTACCTAACATGTTCAGTATATGTTTAAGTGTTTTAAAACCTGTAATTATCTATCTGCATAACTTTATACAATTCAATTAGTGCTTATCTGGTCGTAATAATGCAGTATATATATGTATAAGTTTATTGTTTCCTGAAATTATTCCAACAAAAGCAGATATTTCATTCATAAAATGTGTATATATCATTATAAATAGTATAGGTATCGTTATTCTTATTGAATATTTGAATACAACTATCTGTAAAATAGAGGTAACTATTATTTAATATCCAAAATTATACAGTATGAATTTCAATCACGGTACAATCCATAGGAAAATAAAACGTGCCTCGTATACTTATCGTACGATGAAGGTCGACCTTGTAGTTTAACTAAAAAGTGACAGTAAAAAACCGTAAGTAATCTGAGAACTTTAAAAGTTATTAACTAGGTACAAAGTATTCATATTACGCCATTACAATGATCAGATGATTTATAAATTAAAAACTTTAAAAGTAAGTGCCTTTAAAACAAAATATGCGAAAAGAAAAATTTGCTTAAGCAATAAGCCATAATATAAGAAAAATAATTGATAGATTTCTTATTCATATAATCTAATTATACTTCGAATCTAGTAGTAAATAATTTAATGTTATTTAAATATTTTAAGACGAAAGTAAAAAATTAGTTTGTTACACGAATTACATGAATTCAAATTTAAAGTAATTTTAAGAATTTAAGTAACAGAATATATTATTATATTGACTATATTTATTTTACGATTTTAATATAAAAATGTATATACTATTATAAATTAGTAAGTTTTTCCTCATATAAAATTTTTACTTTTAATATTTCAGTTGCGTAGCCTAGTGACTTCCGTTTCCCGGGTTAAATACCATTGGGATCTGGTTTATTTTAATACCGAAGATAGGGAGGAGTATGGCGTGGAGTGTGACTTTGTCATTATCGCGAATGGACAGTATGTTAGGCCTGTGGTACCGAATTTTATTGGATTAGAAGCATTTGAAGGTAAGAACAATTATCATACTAATTAAGTTACTCAAATATTTTTAGCCAATTAATATAAACTGATGACCCTTACACTTTATTCAATATAAAATAGTTCTAAATGAGCATGCTTTGATATTTACAGTTTACAAGTACTCGTATGTATATGGATTTATCGACGAAAAATGTTCTTTGATTAAGTTATTTAAATATTTTTTGGTAATTAATATAAACTGATGACCCTTACACTTTATTCAATATAAAATAGTTCTAATAAACCATGCGTAGATATTTACAGTTTACAAGTATATCATTATCGTTCATTACATTAGTTCCTTCTAATGTAAGAATAAATTACATTTTATTACTTTAGATTGTATACACTTTATTATTAAGCCGTGTATATGATGTCATCAAACACATAATCCCATTAAAGCTCGTAGTGTCTTTGAATTTATTTTATACATAATTTTAACTATATATTCAATAAACATTTATAAGAAAGATACTATCATAGTAACATAAATCAATCAGTGACTGCACGTAGTCTAGTCGACAAGTCATATGAGATAGCTCATCGGATCAGAAACAACGCCTAGAAAAATGTGACAAAAGTGTGTTTGGAAACTAAAAATAGCAAAAGTTATAAACAATTAAAGATGAAAAAAAAATATCATTTGTGTTTTAAGAAATACTGCATTAACTATTAGCCAATATTTACTAAACTAAAGAATTTATTGGACATTTTCCTTAACTTTTTTCATGTTGGTAAAAATTAAAAATATTGTTTTATATATGAATCACGAGTAAAATAATGAATGGAATATTTAAATGTCCTTATAACGATTACATTAATTTATGATCGCTTAAACATTTTATATACAGGTACAGTCATGCACAGTCACGATTACAAAGGCCCGGAACCTTTCGAAGGTCGTAAGGTCCTGTTAGTTGGGGCCGGGGCCTCTGGTCTGGACCTGGCCGTGCAACTGAGCAACATAACTTCAAAATTAGTGCATAGTCACCATCTCAAATACAATCAACCGAAATTTTCCGATAAGTACGTGAAGAAGCCCGACATTAAAGTGTTCGTGAAGAATGGAGTCATCTTCGAAGATGGCAGCTTCGAGGAGGTGGAACATGTTATTCTTGCTACAGGTATGTATGATAGAATTTATATAGAGCAGTGGTTCCCAAACTTACTAGCTCAAATTATTTTTAACGCCCTCATTTTTAATAAAGGATAATCAATATAACTTATACTAGCTAAAAACCCATAAAACCCTTACCCCTACATAGTCCCAAGTTTCTTCTGGGTTTCTCACTGTCTTTATGCCTGCATCGCCCACAATAGGGCGTTCGCTCACTTTGGGAAAGACTGACATAGATCATGAGTTGGGACAGTTTGTTATATTAGTACTATTAAATAATTTGTACAACATTAATCAGGTGGTTTTCAACGTTAGGCAATAGTTGGGAGGTCGATGGCATCACTTTCTCTATTATCAAACATGGTGACAAAATGTTAAGCATTTGTTATATGAGAACGATTATATTAAATAAATATCACCTCATTCACGTTGCTTAAAACAATTAAGTAAATTTTAGTTTCCATATTGGGATATTCGTTTATTACAATATATATACAACGTGATTTTTCGTATAGTGTGAAGTATTTATTTTCAGTTAATGTATTTGTTTTCAGTTAATTAAAGTCATGAATTAAGTTCCAACTTTCGATCATATTACTTATTAATATTTTTCTTATATATAAGTATATAAGTAATAATATATTTGTTAATAAGAAAAACGAAACGAAATTTTCTTCGTCAATTAAAATTAAGTTATCTTTCAAGATAAAGTCATGTGATTAATTTAAATCTTATTATACATGGGGTATATATCTAGTATTTTAACTTAACTTAATTTTTAATACATTTGTATTAGGATACGAGTTCGACCAACCATTCTTAGATGACACCTGCGGTTTGACACGCACGGGAAAATTTGTGTTACCTTTGTATAGAAATATTATCAACATAGCTCACCCTAGTATGATGTTTCTGGGAGTAGTCAATGGAGTTATCACTAGAACTATGGACGTACAGGTAATTATTATATTGAAGTACTAAGTAATTGTTTGAAATGAATTATTAATGACTAGCTTTCCGCCCGCAGCTTCGTCCACGTGGAGTTCGGTAATATCGCGTTTCCAAGAGAACCTTTCAAAAGTCTGGGATAAAAACTATCCTATGTTCTTTTTCAAGGTCAACTCTATATCTTTACCAAATTTCACTAAAATCATTTTATTGATTTAGGCGTGAAAGCGTAACAGACAGACAGACAGATGACAGACAGACAGAGTTACTTTCACATTTATAATATTAGTAAGGATTTCATAGAAGAAAATTGAGAGATAATGCTATTTTAAAAGTAGTTACATTTTTAACTTATACGAAGTGAAATATTTATTTGCTTAACTATTTATTATGATGCAATATATGAATGACTTGATAATATTTATTAATAATTTCACAGGCCGAGTACATAGCTTCGTTGATCGCTGGTAAATTTAAACTTCCGTCACAAGACGAGATGTTAGAAAGTTGGCTTAAACATGTACATTCATTAAAATATAACTCCAATAAGATACTTTACGTGAACACTATTGGCAAAGAGATGGTAAGTGATATCAAATATATTACTTTTTTGTATAAAATAAATGCCTTATTATTATACTGAAATCTTTTAAATAACTAATGAATACGCAAAATACTTCTCATATTTAAGTCGTATTGATATTTTCATTACAATCTTTGTCTTTTATTTACCTTGTTACTTATTAATTAATGTGATTTCTTTCCAGGACAATTATTTCGGTAATTTGACCGAAGAGGCTGGAGTAGCCAGAGTATTGCCTGTCATGTCAGATATAAGAGATTTCAATGCTGAGAATCGTCTTGAAGATCTTCTTAATTATAGAGATTACGACTTTGAAATCATTGACGCTAACAATTATAAGAGATGGTATAACGGCGGAGGGAAGAGAGCAGAGGAGTGTCCTATTGAAGAAATGAATGAATGAACGAATGAACGACTTAATGAATGAACGAATGAAGTTTCCGGAATGAATGAATAAACACAATGGAGCGTTTCAAATGATCCTTTAATAAGGAAGACTTTGTTATTAATAAAAATAACTTAATAAATCATGAACAAAACTAGAGATTATGTCAAATAAATATTTAGATTACTAAAATGTATCTATTAGTTGTTATTGTGAATCGAATGGCATTTTAGAGACACATAGATGAATAATATATGTAGTAACTCAATAAACGTACGAAAATAATCACGAGCTTAACTGAAAAGGTTTTTTTGTAAGCTCGTTTCATTGAGCCAAATAATGTTCTTTAGAGAATGATAATGATTATAGCTTTTATTCATGACTCTAGGAATTGAAAGAATAACTTTCATTAAAAAATATTTCTTTTATAGGAAACTAATTTTTCGGATACTAAAAAACGAGTTTTTCATATTCTATATCTATATAATCGAAGGCAGACGAGATTAAATAATGAAATGATAACTTTCATTATTACGTGCGAACGCGGATAGTCTTGCTTATTATAAAATTATAAATAACTGTTTTTTTCCCGCGACTATGTCTACGTTAGTTTCATAATTAGAAATGAATGATCGTGCGAACTCTATTCCTCCTTAATGACAGTAGATAAGAAGATTTGGATTTGATCAACTTTTTTTTTCAATTGAATGAAAAGTATCCTATGTCCTTTATCTTGTTCTAAGCTCTCTCCAACCATTTTTAGCTAAAGCCTTACAGCCGTTCTTGAGTTATAAATAGCGTAACTAACACGACTATCTTTTATATATAAAGATGTAATTAAATCCACAGTGAACATTATTAATATGTTACGAAATTTAAGTCTTTTTATATTAATGTACCTTATAATTATACAATTTTACAAGCTGTTACTAATAAGTATAATTAAAAAACTGTTACCAGTTCTTATGATATTATAAGCGAAGTATATGTGTAAATAATGTATACGTACAACATAAATTTTGGACCGAATTTTATATGTAAATGTTTAAATCATGTTATTGTACTAAAAGTAATTAAAATATAATATAATTAATATGAAACTTTTTCTTTTTTACGTATACCTAACATTATTATGGTCTTTTCTATTGACGAAATTATTTAGCAATGAGATTTAATAGATTGTTTTTTTAATCGAATAAATCATAACCATAAGGTGATTTAAATCATAAATTGATTTTTTTAAACTAATTAATCCTTGTAGCTTGTAGTGCAAGAGTTCTTATTCAACAAACCAACAACATCATCTTGAGGCAAATTTCATGGTATCGTATCATTTAATTGTCACAGAAGTTACCTCAGTGATCTACCTAATCGAACAACAGGAAGTGGTTCTAATATAACTAGCAAGACTTGTTCCATACTAACATATTAACTGGGCAAGTTAAGTAAAAGAATTAAAATATTCAGGAATTTGTTTAAAGACATTCATAGTAATATAAGTGTAGTGTAAGCATTGCAAATTTTTCAAAGTATTTTAGAATGTGATCGTATTTAAAAGTAGCTCTGTTCAGTATGTTCAGTCTGATTTGACAACGTCACACTATACACGGAGTGTTAAGGGTTCATAAATTGTGTTAATATAATTTATTGAACGAAAAAACGGGCAATGTTATGTGTGTAGTGACGAAGCTAACTTGGACTAAGCAGACCCATCTAAAATTAAAAGTTTAATATGACATATTTGTAGAGTATACTATATTTCCTCCCAATATTATGATACGAATACCTGTGCAGTTATACTAGGCCACCACTAACTTTTTCTGTTGAAAAATACAAGTTTCATTTAAATATATACTCGCGAAAATCTTAGACCTCCTTATGCCTTAGCATTGTTTTAAAATCTATAACAATCTTTGAAAAAAATATACCCACGGTTTAGTCCAACCAATCAATAGCTGACTCTACTAATATTTTTTTGATGTCAAAGGTAGCAAACGAGCAGACGGCCTACTTGGTGTAAGGTAGTACCGTCGCCCATGGACATCCGTAACATATGTATTTGTTGCGGATGCGTTGCCAACCTTGTTTTTTTAGGAGTAAGGAGGGGTGGGATAAGGAAATTGTAGGAAAGGGTGGGAATAGGAAAAGGGCAACCGGCTCTCTCACTCATAGGACGAACCGTAGCCAATAAAGGCTACTTCACGCCGATCTCCTGTGAGAGGGTGGTACTTCCCCGGTCGAGCCAGCCCATGTTCGAGCTGTAGTAACTTACCACAGCTAGGCTCTACCACCTAAGAATTAAAACAATTGGTAATATTCAATCCAGGAAAATGAGACGAGAGTGTTTGAGTCCGTTCATCCCAACGACTACACCTATACACATATAGTGGTGAAGTTGCTTCTCCCGGAGTAGTAGGTATAATGTAAGCGGTACCAATGACGTCACACAATGAAATCAATGACGTCACATAAACCACTTACTAAATCTTTACTATTGAGACCTAAGACTTTCGCGAGTATTCATTTAAATAAAACTAATATTTTCCAATATACTACGCGATTTATTATTATATTAAAAAGTGCATAGACACTCTCGAAGCTTTGGTAACTTTGCAGCAACCGGGATCACGGATCAAGATCTACATCTGTTTATATCGCCTTCGCTTAGTTAAAGTTAAACAAAATCATCAAATTCCTAAGTTGTAAAAACAAAATGTTCTATAATATAATATTCTAGTTAATATTATAATATTTCATAGGTACCTTTTACTAAGCAAAATCAATTGGTGGTTTTCAATATACATATACAGAGAATGAATTAGTACAAAAACTGTCGAGGAAATCTCCATTGCATAGGATCATAAGGTGAAAACTAATTCTTACTTTCCAGTAAGAAAGTAACATTGATAATAAAATAACTTATATAAATTATATTACTACTGAGTAAAGATTTGTTTTTTAAAATGTAGACTATTAAGGTCTCAATAAAGGATGTGAGTAAGTGAACTCTTGCAAAATTTTCGTGAAGGAAATCTGTTTTGTAGAGGTACACAAAATGTCTACCGGTATTGAGAATCTTGGTACAATACAATAATGGTGACAGTCTCAATTGAGGAAGTATATTAGTTAAGTAATCATAATAATATTATTAATTGAAGTTATTTAGGGCGTAGCAATGCGGAAACTTATTAAACTTACACGAGTGTGAAGGTTTTTCTACCAATAAGTTTACTTACGACCTCGAATTCAAGAGAAAATCCACTGTCACCATGAATCTGGGGTATAAAACTATTTAATAATATCAAGAATAAGACATAAATTATACAATAAATCAGTTAAACTACTGTGAGCAAAATTTAATCCTAATGGCAATGTTAACAATTGGTAGTGTGATATAAAAAATAGAACTTAATAAGATTTATGATGTCAATCCGAACGAAGCAACTAGGTTCTAAACCAAAGTAATTTTTGACAAATGAAATATTATAGGTCAAAATTCTATGGCTTATAACAAAATACAATTAGTGTAAGAGTTTTGCGAGTTTTCATTGTAATAAAACTAATATTTTCTGATGTACTACGTGGTTTTTATTATTTTAACCAAAAACTCCAGAGTCTCTCGTGTGCCTGTGATCACGGTTGCTGCAAAGTAACAAACGTATTTGGTTGAAATAATAAAAATGCGTAGTAAACCCGAAAATGTTACTTTTATTTCTATGTTAAAATATGTTTACTAATTATTAAAGTGCACACGGCGTGGTGATCAAGAGTGACGAGGAATGACGAAGCTTTATTAACTGTATCAGATAAATACAAATATTTATGTATGCAGACCAGCTAAACTCGTTATGCAATTATATTAATATTAATTACCCATAAAAACAGATATATACAAAACATACATATGTTAATACCTTACAGAACCTTGAGTGTATATATAATTAGCTTATTTAAATTGTTGTGAAATTTTCTAGAGATCCGTATTTCGTTTGCAGTGATTGTGACTGTATAAGGATATTTTGTTCCAGTGACTGAAGTAGTTATCAAAAATTATCAACGAGGTTCATATTAAAAATGAACTTTATATAATGCTACTTAATTTTTAATTTAATGAACAAATAAAGAATAAGTAATGTATAAGTTGTAAAGGGAGTACCATTCCTTAGTCGGTCTCGGGAATTGGCTCTCTTTTTTTCGGTTTGTACATCGTCTTGATGGGAAGCTTATTTAAAATTTTGCGTATTTTTTTAGTTATTCCCATCAGATACAGTAATATGGAATTTTATCGCTCAATTGTAATGTCCTCAGATTGTTCAAGGGATGATGACGAGGCACTGATAATAGGGCTAAAAGTCTTTTTCAAACAATTCATTATTAGGTCCCAATTCTAAGTTGCTTATACTCGTGATAACTTCTTAACGAAATGTTTGTTTGGGATGACATAAAAAGTATTTTACTTCTACATAAATGGGGGCGTTCATAAAATACGTCAGATATTTAATGGGGAAGGGGTCACCTCACCAAAAGGGGGGGGGGTCAAAAATATCCAGAAACAGTTCACATACTTTATGAACGCCCCCGATGCTCTTGATAACAATATGTTAATTTGAAAAAGATTGTTGTTACGATACGAAATTTGACGTGGTATCTTTGTTGAGGCTATTTAATAATTTTTTTAATAAAAAACGATATTGTGACTAAATTACGATAGATAAATCGATATCTCCTACGTAAGTTGTTGTAAAAATACTTTTAACGTAGTTAAGAAGACTATTATGTTAAATTTAAATACGAAATTTTAAAAAGATGCATCAATAAATACAGTTTTGGTTTAATTTGATTCTTTGACACGCTCTACTGTAAAATTACAGTTTTGGAGAGACAACAACTTACGTGGGAGGTATCGAAATGATCTCGACCACATTGTTCTAGATTTTAATGAGTCTTACATGAGTCTTACAAACCTTACTTTGTTGTGTTGTCAATAGTTTTTGCGGTATGCGCATAAATACGTTTTA